GCACCATGTGCTACCTGGATGAAGAGGAGGACGCGTGGCGCACGCTGGCCGCACTGCCCTTGGAGGCCAGCACGCTGCTGGCAGGCGTGGCCACTCTGGGCAACAAGCTCTACATTGTGGGTGGTGTGTGTGGCGCCAGCAAGGAGGTAGTGGAGCTGGGTTTCTGTTACGACCCGGAAGGTGGTACCTGGTGCGAGTTCCCCAGCCCACACCAGCCACGCTATGATATGGCGCTGGCCGGTTTTGAAGGTCGCCTCTATGCCATTGGTGGCGAATTCCAGAGGACGCCCATGAGCTCCGTGGAGTGCTACGATCCCGCTACAGGCTGCTGGAGCTTCGTGGCCGACTTGCCACAGCCAGCTACAGGGGTTCCCTGTGCCCAGGCGCGTGGTCGCCTCTTCGTGTGCCTGTGGAGGCCGGCAGATATCACTGCCGTCGTTGAGTATGTGGTACAGATGGACAAATGGCTGCCTGTAGCTGAACTGTGTCGTTCACAGAGCTACGGCCACTTTATGGTGGCCCATCGTGACAGTCTCTACGTGGTGCGTAATGGGCCTTCTGATGATTTCCTGCACTGTGCCATCGATTGCCTCAACCTGGTCACGGGTCAGTGGACCTCGCTACCTGGCCAATTTGTCAACAGCAAGGGAGCATTGTTCACATCCGTGGTGCGCGGGGACACCGTCTACACTGTCAACCGTGTATCCACGTTGGTCTATGCCATTGAAGATGGCACCTGGCGACTGCTCAAGGAGAAGACTGGGTTTCCACGGCCTGGCTCTTTACAGACCTTTCTCCTGCGGCTGCCTCCTGGCACTACTGGGCCTGTGGCCACCGCGTTGCCAGAGTTGTGAGCTCAGAATAACTTCAGAAGATTCGAGCGTCTTCATGAGCCCTGACTATGTGAGCCCGGATTGAGGAGCTCTTGGGAACTCCTTTTCCCCTACTGGGACACTCAGGTCTCTGCTTTCTGGTAGTGTGGATATCCAAGAAGCCCTGAGCAATGAAGATGCCTGGGTCCTCAAATCACTTGGGCTCTGCTGAGAACTGGTGGGTCACAATCTCAGGAAAAGAGGAGGGGTTACTATTTGGACAATCCAGGCTTGTAGTCGAATAGCCAACAATTGAGCTATGGCTAGAAGTGGGTTAAGTGATGTTAACCAAACTGCTGATTAGCAGGTACAAAGTATCAGCACAATACTGGGCCTAATTCAAGCTGTAGTTGTCAGTTGGAGTACAGAAAGCCTAGGAAACTCGGTCTTAATAGAAGTGTCAGGATGACCAAAAAAAAAAAAAAAAAAAAAAGCATCTATACATAATTTGCCTCCACCCTCAACCTGAAAGTAACATGTTGATTTTAAAAATTAAAAGCAACACACAATGCAATAAAAAGAATACCAAAGCAGTCAGCCTGGAAAAGGGAAGATAAAGAATGCAAGTCCAGGAAGTAAGCACATATACAAATGGCATAGAGGAGACAGGAGACAGGAGACAGTCTGGAGGAGCAGAGTCAGACCATAGAGTCTGAGCCCTCCAAGAAGAAAGAGGGACAAGACTGGACCAGACAGTGTCTCTGTAAGCTCCAGCCTTTAAAGGAGAACAGCTGAAGATGGAGGTGTTTAGGCAGTGAGTGAGGCTAGACTGACAGCAGACAAAACTCAGTCAAGCCTGGAGCAAGACCCTGGGAGGGAGCACGTGTTCCCTACAGTAGCTTTGGGGACTGGAATGGAAAGGAAGCACCCAGGTGTAATTCCTTTTCTTATCTTTTTTGTTATCAGTATGGGACAGTAGATTGGTCCCTCCTGACCAGGTTCCTGAAGCTGTAAGGAGCCTAGTCCTACTGATCTCAGTGCATTTCTTCCTAGATAAGCCACATGCTACATCTCTCTCCTAATCTCTGCTGCGGCCATTCCCCAGGCCTGTAAATGTCAGCTCTATTCCCACCTCCTTTCAGCAGGATTGGCTGACTCAGCTCCTGTTTTCCTGACCTGGCTGCCTGGATCACTTACTGATCTCTGTGACATTCTGTGTTTATGCAGCCATACCTGTATGCAGATGATAAGGGTGGAGGTCCTGTGCTATTAACTGAGCTGGGCAGAATAAAATGATGTCTTACAGAAATCACTTAGTTAGGGGTCTGCTGCTGCTTTGTGTTGTTAAAGAACTCCTGTCTTAAAAGCAATCCCCAGAGCTGGGTGGTGGTAGCACACACCTTTAATCCTAGAATTTAGGAGGCAGAAGCTGGAGGATCTTTGAGTTCTAGGATAGTCTGGTCTACGGAGCAAGTTCCTGGGTGGCAAGAGCTACATGGAGAAGCCCTGTCTCGAAAAACAAAAGACAAAACAAAAAAAGGCAATACCCAGGCCCAGCTTCTGCTACAAACACCTACTTCAGCTCTCCAGCATGGCCATGTGCCCTGCAGACTGCCTTCAGTGGTCCTGTATTGTCTCCATCCTCCAGGACCCAAGCCATACAAAACCCTGGCTTCAGAAGTACAGAATGGTACTTCCTGAGCATAGTGCCTGGTGTCAGGCTGACACTTGCTACCTCTTCTCCCAACCTGTGTGCTAAACCTGAAATAAGCTGCCTTCAGGAATGTGGAATCTTCCAGCCTTTGTGAAAGTCTAGTCTGATGAATCACAACAATAAACCCTGACATTTGTATCCTATGAATTCTAGGCAAACGGTTTGTACATTCAGTTCTTCCACAGTCCCTCAACTGTGGTTCTGTGAAAGTACACACGTACACACACACACACATACACACACATACACACACACACACACACACACACACACACACACACACACACACACTTTTCTCATCAGTCAATGACTTAGGCAATTCACTAATGAAGAAACTCGAATGTGAAGCTGGTTGGAAAGATCCTCTGAGAGACAGATTTGTATATTGAATTGGCAAAGATGTGTGGGAGTAAGTTTGCTAGGTCAGACATGATGCTGGTTCATGTCTGGGGGAGGCAATAAAACCATCACTTTAATAGTTTTGTCCTGGAAAGAGTCTTTGAATTTTCACATATGCGAATGCACAGACTTGTGCACACCCATAGGCTAGCACAGGACTTAATGTCTGGGGCCACAAAATAGTAAGTCGTTGAAATAGAAGTGCAAAGCCCTTCAAAATTAAGTCAGTTCACTGTTTAGCCTTGCTCCAGAGTGATGCTTTCAAGACCCACCGTCCTTTGTCTCTAATTCCAGGTGATGAACATTTTTCCTAGCAGCCAGAGCACTGCCTCTTGTGTCATTAGGGTCTGTCAGCAAATGACCTCTCTCTCAACTCAATGAACTCTAGGTTTGGCTCTGACAGGCCTGCTATACTAGGTCTCTGCACTTTGACTATTCTCACCCAGAGCAGCACCTGTCTCTAGAGTTGTCACACACACACACACACACACACACACACACACACACACACACACACACATAT